GAAGGACGGAGAGGATTAGGACAGTCATCTTTTAACAAAAGAGGCCGAACAATTCGATTTGGTGTAAAAACGGGGGATTACAAGTATTAATGATTAACAGCTGTTAACCGTTGAATAAGAGGTTGCTATCATGTCTTACTGGTCCAGAGGATGAAGCTTCACCGTTGGAAGCAGTGAGCATTGGGTTCGAGTGCCAATAGGAACAGGATCATCCACTGGGGTATAGTTATATCCTGCTGACAAGTCCCAAATAGGACAAAACGCGCGTTCTAGATTCCGCTGTTAGCTTCCAACCAGACAACAGTATAAATAAGTAGTCGCCCAGTATCTAGGCTTCTGCATAAGAACTCATCCACCAACAAGGATCGAGGACTTTGACCCAGTATAGCAATAGGAGGGTCAAAGCACCGAACAATAAAAGATGAAAATGGTTGTAACTCACACACGCATATATATAGCAGTAAACAGAAATCACTAATTGAATGAACTATAAATAACCTGCTACAGAAACTCAAGTTACTGAAGTGTGTGTTTTCAAGCGCGATCCAATGAATAACATTTGAGCGTCTACTTTGGTGAACTTGCTTAGCGTCAAAGTTGGAGCTGACTGTATCAATTACCAATGGTATGCATAACACAGATCCTTCAGGAGACTAAGATGTTTCAGGTAGGTAGATGTAATATTCAATAATGATTTGAAGTTTAAAAAGAACGGAGATCACAGCTTATATATATTTGTTCGATAATTGAATTAAATAGATGATAAATGAGTAAAGAGAAGAAGAGATACCAACTGAGTGTGGTTTGACTGAATAATACAGGATTGTGGATTTCTCTTAACTGATGGGTCACGAATAAACAACTATGGTTATACGCCCAGAATACTTTGACTCACCATTGATCACTGATAATACTGTCCCTATAGCACAGAAAAACACAAAAGACAAAACAAGGAAGGCAAGATTTATTGTTCGGTGGCTAGCAGTGGAATCCAGGATGTGCGGTCCATCCTATTTGGGACTTGTCAGATAAGTGCATCTGCCTCTCAGTGAGCGATGTTGTTCCCCTTAGGACTTGGTCCTGGGACTCCAGGGTGTTATCCACTAGATCATCGAGTCCCGATAGCCTCTCTTTATGCAGAGGCATAGTTCATATGATGTTGCTCCCTGGGAGGCAGGTACATTCAGCTAACAAGTCCCCAAAAGGATGAAACTCATGTCCTGGATACCACTGCTAGTCACCAAAATGAATAAATAAGACTTGGGGAATTACGTTGAGAGCGTATACCAAACTGACTTCGTTCAAGTATTCTTCAAAAGGATGATATCGTATGCATCTGAATAGATATTGTCCATGGATTCATTTCAGATAATGGTGTAAGGTGTGTATGATATATTCAATTACCGCCAAGATATACATTGTCATGTAGAATCCTTGTGTTATTGTATCTAATGACAGCCTTGATTTACAGAAAAATTAGTAGACAGAAAGACCAATGTCATGTTAGTTAAACAGAAGCAATCGGTAGGAAGCCCTAGGCCTAGGTCTCGTGCTTTCGGTCAGTCATCAGCAAGGCGTGACTGTAACGTTGGATTTGAACCCGAGTCACCCAGTGGTGGAGTCAGAGACGTTACCATTGAGCTATTTGCCCAGCGACTGACCTCCCATATGACTAGATTACTCACACTGACTGGTCACTGGAGGATAACCATGGCATATTTAAAAAAAAATTTCTTCCACCTCTGTCAAATTTTTGAAGCGAATAAGGTGACTCAATAGTGTAAAATCTCACTAATTTAATGCATAATTATGTCTCTAATTTTCCAACTACATTACAACACTCATATTCATGAAGTTTTGAAGGTCTTGGATAAGATGCTTTTATTGTACAAGCTATCGTCATTCCATCCGAATGCGAGTTTTAACTTCCGACTGTTCAATGTAAATTCGCTTGGTAAAAACACCTCATCAATTGGGAGTTCCACTTTTCGACTGTTTAGGTTGAATTTGAAACTGTCAACTTTCCAGTTCCTTTTTGTATGACACCTATCCATCCAAGTTTGTCAATTTTACTAGAAGCTTTTATTTCAAAGAAATTATTTCTAACGTCGCATTTAGTTTCTTGTTAATCATGTTGACCCCTACAATGTGACAATACAACTAAATGTGTAACCATGACTGACCTTATAACAGAAGGTCCAGTTAATGGAAAGACCGATGTTTGAGTTAAATGCCTGATATACAGTAGAGTAGTGACCAATCCAGAATGAGCTAAGAAGGTCTATAGTTATCAAACATCTTTGTCAAATAGAGCATTCAGCACATACATTCTCCTTCTGTTTCGTTTCTGACTTCGACTTTTAAAAAAATTGTGTTACAAATATCTGGTACCGACAACCCTGTTTAACAATCCATTTTATTGTAATTCATATCATAGGTATACGTGAAAGTATTCGTAATTGATCGAATATGCTAATGGTTAACCATCTGAGCACAATGTACAGCACAGTCGTCAATTACAACAGTTTGAGGTTAGATTTTCTTTTTATTCTTGAATCAGAGTAAACTCTACATAAGTCATCAGTCAAACACCCGACTTCTTGTTGGCATTGTCATTATGTACGACAGCTCTCACGACTGTTACAAAACCACTTTTTGTCAAATATGTATGGAAATTTGACATCTTTATTCAAGAAACTTACGGTATAATTCTGCCTTGAGAGGTGATCTAGGTGAATACAGATGCTTAGATATTGTGGAGAATATTTGTAGTTTAGGTCGTGAATGCTCAGACTGAGTTGTTCTCTGAGTTGGTATTTCAGTTGGCAGATGTTTCGTATTCGACTTAGGTGGTTTGAACATATGCTGCGCATACTCACATACGGTCTACCTCAATGTACGTTGCTTGGAGAAGTTGAATCAGGCTGAAGGAGGACTTGGCGTAGTCAGACTAAGATGTGGGACCAGTCCATGAAGTCTCTGACTGCTGATCTGAGTCGTGTAAGGAGCTGTAGACTCTCTAGTTGGGTTCCTCAGGATGATAGGAATCAGTAATTGAAGACTGTAAAATAGCTGAAAATCTGTGACAGTGGAACAAATATATTCACTCGTTGATGTCTTCTAAAGCTTGAATGTTTTGACTGACTTTAGTTTTTGAATTACCTCTCCTCCCATATAAACTTTGCCTACAGTGAAACCAGTCTTTTCTATCCCACTTGTTATTTTTATGCTACTGGAAAGTGTGGGGACTTGAACCGATGCATTTTTGTGCAAGATTCCAAGTTAATTTTGTCTGTCTGTCTTACTAGACAGTATCATCAGTACATTAGAGTTTCCCAAAAAAGTTATTTGAAAGCAAGACATTAAGTAACACTAATAAGTATAGGTCCTGATTGCTAGCTCCTTTTTAATATGTGGGTATTCCGGAGTAAATTGTAAGTCTTGTGATTAAAACACCCATGAAGTTGACAATCATGTACCCTCATGCATTGCATATCTGTACAGAGTCTTGGTAAAATTTGATGACCTTACACTGAGCACATTTCACTCACGTAACACTACTATCGTTCACTCGAGATAAGTTGACTTCTATATTTCTTCTGCTTGTCCAAATGTCTTATGTTTTTTCTTCTCATGTTTTTGGTTTTCTCTTATGGAACGTCTACCAATCAGATGGTAACTCTATTTTCTCTTCCTAGAGATATAATACTATATAATAATTACATGGGTTTATATAAGCAGTGCACATCATACATTATTTAAATAAGGTGTTGCATTAACACAAGCGAATAAGTAACAAGCATCTACAACACATAAGTAATGACTTCCAACATATTTATAAAATCTAGTCCTTCGGTCGTTTCTTCCAAACGCTGACTACTAGTACTTCAATAAATGAACCATTCACTTTGACTATCTGAGCCGTAGTTTGGCAGACTAGTATTTATACTGGGTGATGATTGAAGGTGAAATGAGAATTCGGACCCCAGCCCGATTCGAACCAGAGACCACCGGGCTTCCGGCCCGATGCTCTACCAACTGAACCAGAAACCCGGTGGTCTCTGGTTCGAATCCGGCTGGGGTCCATATTTTCATTTCACCTTCATTCATCACCCAGTATACATTCTAAACTTCACTACATAGTGTTTCGGCTTAATGAAACTCCAACAAAGATGTGTATTCTATCGGATTGGTTGTCCGTCTGACCGAATCAATGGAATTTTCAAGAAGTTTGTCATTATTGACTTGATCATCTAATTAATAAGAACTGTTAAAGTAGATGAAAGCGCACACTGACTTCTGATGGCAAGGAATTATTGGCTACCAATTAGCCTTCATACCCTTTATTGATTATTTGATGCCTGAAGTTTGTATTGTTATTATCATTATTTTTCTCGAGTTACATTTTGGCTTGCTAAGAGACTGTTTGGCCTCATTAACTTTCTCATTTCTGTCTAGTTTTTGAGTGTAGATAACACTGGAAGTTCATACAATAAGTTCACCTGCAGTTCGGTCTTTGATTTCGGTTGTTTCAGGTCATAGAATTGTAGTAGGCCATTCAGAGTTAGGTGTTACATTCGTGGACCACAACACCAATTCGTCCATCCAGTCAAAAGTGCAGTTAGCCTGGTTATAAATATGATAGCTTCCGCCTGAAACTCAGGTTGTAGCTACCATAGGAACCTTAACACGAAGACCCAGTTCCGATTCTTCAGTGTCATCACGAATTACAGTTACAAATACATGTATATTTTCCCGATACTTTGCACTAGAAATGCTAGCTCCGCCATTATGTTTCGGTATTATGAGAAGCGTTACAAACTTTCATCTAACCAACAAATAAACTCACTGACACTACTAAGTGAGGAATGAAGATGGTATAAAAACCTGTGTCGCTCACTGTACGACTTATACTAACCACTTCTAGGTACCTACCAGACGATGGGTGTCTCTCAGATAGTCACACTAAAGGTAAATTTAAACAGAATAGAAAAGTATCAGAACTTTGAAAAATGATGTATACACACAAGAATCACGTAATACTAGTAGGAAGAGTCAGGCTGTGGTTAAATAAAAAGGAAAGTCAAAGAGAAATGATACATGGTGACTATTAGTAGGAGATGATTGTAACTGTGGGGACAATTAGTGTTAGTAATAAAGATGAAACAAATCACTCTAATTTTACGGTTGATAGTGACATGGTTGCATTAATCCCAATTTATTTACTTTATCTATGTTCGAGTTGCAGAATGATGCAACATGCCAAGTGTGGAGAACTTCATTCGCTTTTGTTTCTGTCGTTGATTACAAAACCATACTCTGACAACATTCTTTTTTAAATTCAATTTCTCTGCAATCTGTGCAATTTTCTCAGATGATGGACGTGGTTGAATACTGAAAAATGCTTCAAGTGATCTTTTCTCTGAATCAGTGATTGATGTACGTTTACGTCGTCTTTCCTCTTCCAAATCATAAATACTTGGATGATTTAAGCGTGAATTGGCCTCAGCTTCAGCTTCTTCAAGCCATGCTTGGAGTACAGGTTTCAAAGCAACCATATTATTATGCGATAAGGTTAATGATTCAAACCGACATATAGTGGATTGAGATAAGGAACCGACACCAGATATCTTCAGATTACCCAGTGCTTTACCAACATCCGCCTGTGTAACACCAAGTTTAATACGTCTTTGTTTAAATAATTCAGAAAAGGCTTCCAGTTCTCTGGGATTATAATCTAACTCAACTGGATGACGGTATATTGATGCGTTTGAATGACTACAGTTCAGTAGATTAGAGTGTGCGAAATTCTGTGAAGAGTATCCACCTGTTGAAGTTAAACGATTCTTCAAATTAGACATTATTCCTGCATCTGTTATTTGTGATTGACTAGTATCAACAGTATTGGCATTGAAACCATGCACAGGTGGTAGTAAATAACAATTTAAGCTTGTTTTAAAATTACTTGTTGTTCCGGTCACCATGGTAGCATCATTTGGGAAATTCAAACCACAATCATTTGCACAGTTATTCATCATCATGAATTGATTATGGTTATGTTGGTGTTGTGAAATACTATGTACGCCTAAACAGTGTTCTACTCGCTCATATGAATCATCCAGTTTATTATGAGGGTTGATAGATGTCGATACAGGATGATTACTACTGTTGTCCGAATTGAAAAGTTAACATTTGGAAAACTTCCAACTAGGCTACCATTTGTATTCAAATAATTAGAGGATAGATCGTATAGATTCTCTTGTATACAGTTCGACTGAACACTATCACAAGATGTTCTAGTGAAATTTGTTAGAAAATTATGCGATATACACGGGATCATTGAGTCAAAATTGCTGTTATTATTGAGACTACTGTTAACACTATTCATATCGATTAGATTATGTTCAGGAAAGTTAACTTCATTATTGCTACTGTTATTATTAGTAGTAGTAGAAACTGCCTTGCCTGATGTTGTAAAACGTAATTTATTCATTAGTAAATGATGATTTGAATTCCAATGGTTTTTAATGTAACTAATTTCACTTTCATAACTTGATAAATCACCATGGTGATGATTCTTTGTCCACATATATTCTGTGTTGAAATCTGAACATAATTTATCTGTGTGTTGCGTTTGTAAATGTGTAAACTGATGATGATTACTACGTATTGAGTCGTCGTTTAAAGTTTCAGTTGATTGTGATGAGTAGGATAATGGTGGTGATTGTCTATCTGTAGAAGTGGTCAACTTCGCATACGTACCATCCTTATTATTATTACTATTATTATTACTGTTTTTATGAGTATTATTCATAGATGAACTTGTTAAATAATTATTGAACGTTGAACTTGAATTTTGCTCATTAAATTGCCTTTTATAACCAAATAATAAGTGTTCATTATTATTATTATTATCATTATTATTGTTATTATTATTATTATTATGATCAGATTTGACTTTTTCACTATCCGATGTTAAATGCCATTCTAATAAAGATGTAGCGGTTTTATTCTCATTATTAAAGGTTCTTTGAGAATTCAACTGAGATGGAGATGATGTTGATGATGATTCATGTATTGGTGATGTTAACGATTGATTATCATATAACGTGAAATTTTCATTATTGATCATTATCATAGAATTTAAACAAGACTCATTGATTTTCTTATTTGGAAATGACGTAAGATAATTTTTATCAGTGAAAACTGTATTATGATTTAGTTTACGGTTATTATTACTATTAATAGTAGTATTAGTCGTATTCTGTGTTGTCGTACACTCACCACTGAAATGATAATGTGATCTTTTAGAGGAATTCTCATTGACTTCATTTAATAGTTTTGAATTTAATCGATTCGAATAAATATGATCATTGTTACCATTGTTAATATCATCAGCCTCAGCATCATCATTGTCAGTATTGACTGATACAGATTGTTTATTTTCTATTTCATGCTTATCATATTCAATGAAATAATTAGAATAATTTATAAATTTATTAGTATGAAAGCTTAATTCAGTTTGATAATCTAAACTATTGGAACGGGATTTCATTGGATTTGAATTCACTGTATTTTTCCCATTTGGGGAATTGTAATCATATTTTGTAGTACTGTTACTATCATTGCTGCTATCCCCACTATTATTATTATTATTATTATGAAAATCGTTTTCTGAATTTCTATTGATCATTTCACAATTATTATCAATTTCATTATTAGTAATACTATTATTATCATGGCATGTTTCATCGAATTTCGATGATTCCAATTTATTGATTACTTTTTGATTTGTAATTAAATTATTCTTAGATGTTTGAGAATATTCTGAATAATATGAATTTAAGCGTATACGATTTAAATGGTCATGAGTTGATTCACAATTTAAACCACAAGTATGTTGATGATGATTATGGTGGTTATATGATCGTTGATTATAATGATTATTATTATTATTATTATTATTATTAATATTATTACTATTATTGATATTATTATCAGATATGTATGAATTTGAATGAAATAATCGATCAAACCATTGATGACTAGCTATTGCTAAAATAGGATTTAATTTACTTGATTCAACAATATCATTTGAACATTTTATTAGTTCATCTTTAGGATTAATACTTTTATTATTAGAAGTAGTGTAATACATTTCAGAGTTAAATGAATTAATCATATCTGATGAATTAGAATTGTGTAATTTACGATAGGGATTAATTGTTTTTATTGATTTATTTGAGTCATTTATACATAAATTTGAATCTTCTGATACATCATCTATTGTATTCATTTGAAAACATTGATATATATCATTCATTATTTGAATAGTAAAATTGACCAGTATGTAGATACAATTGTATATCTGCAAAAAAATGCATCAATTAATTTTGAGATGAATGAAGATTTTAATTTTGAAGTAGTATTCATCACGGACTAATATCAGTTGTATAATCATAGAGAACCTGGCATTACTGGATGTCTGTTTCATCTTAGCTTGGAATCCTCAGTCGTACGCACCCACCAGCCGGGTAGGGATTTAACTCAGGATCTTCGGGTTTCATGTTATACGCCTCAGCCATTCAGCTACTGGGTTGCACTTGAGTGGTTCACAGTTTCCTATTTTTTTCAACTCGTGATATAGCGTGGCTATCGCTGAAGGTCTCTAGATGGTATCCGATTCCCCTCTAATTGGTTGACAGAAGTTGGGAACTGTGAACCATTCAAGTCTAACCCAGTGGCAGAATGGATAATGCGTTCACCGTGAAACGTGATGTGCTTGAGTTTGATCCGTGGTGAGGTCATGGGTGCGTACTGTTGGGGAGTCCCATACCAGAAGGAAACAGCTGTACAGTGCTGCGAGGTTTTCAAATGTTCTCCAACTGATATCAGTCAGTGATGAATACTACCTCAAAATTAGTTAATTATTTACAGGAAGTTAATTCTATTTATTTATAAATTTAACTTAATGAGAAGAGATTGATGCTGGGTGATGATTTCAGGTGAACTAAAAATCTGAGCCACAGGTAGATTCGAACCAGCTACCTTTGGGTTACTAGCAATTACTGATAGTTACATCTGATTGAAATTTGAAGCATGACCTCTCATATCTATTCATGAGGTATCATCTGAAGTGTACTAGAAAGAAAAGTACTGGCAATGATCTCCAGGTGTATACTGACCACCTTAAACGAGAATACCAGTAATGAGAATAACTTGTCCAAACTGTCACTGAAAATAAATCCACAACTGTTATATTTCACACTTTGATTGATCAATAAAATTTGAGACAGTAGGAAAACACCTAACCGGAACGTCAACTTGAGTCATGCCAAATAACTCAAAGGAAACAGAGCATATACCATACAGTTTTGAATGAGTGGCTATTGAATTCGGGTAACGAAGCACTAATCTTACAGACCTTGAGAAGTAGTGAGGGAGAAGGGAGCAAGTTTAATTAGTCATCGGAATTATGATCAAAATCTTTTCAACTTATCTGCGAAAATCGGAACCTTTCATGTCCTTCTTGCTTCAACATGACAATAATTTTTGCTCATCATTGGTTTTACCTAACCCATCGGATAAATAAGTTCCAAACACCTCTCATTTAGGAAAGATTTCAGATATTTTGAAAATTACTAGGTGGTATTAATCACGGACTGATATCAGTTAGAGAACCGTTGTAAACCTGGGAGCATCGGACAGCTGTTTTGTTCCACTGCGGGACTTTTCAGCAATATGAACGTACGACCTCACCAGGGGTCGAAATTATAACTTTCAAATTTCGCGACGAGCACGTCCAATGAGCTACAGTTTTCTGCTTGTGTCAACTTCCAGTATAACCTGACCATTATCATACACCATCGATGAGTATTTATCATTTCATCCAAATTGCTTGACTCTTCAGATCACAGCTTCTTATTAAAATTTTGAGATATCCATCTTCAATAATGTCACTGATGAAAATTAGTTTACCACAGTACTCTAATTTCCTGAAACAAATTAGTGGAGTCGGAAACTTTGGATATTACTGGATATTTATTATTTCCACCTCAATATGAGTGTATCTCATTGTTGGTCGTGAACAGACAACATACTTCAACAAGGAGGTTTCTGGGAAATCGAGTAACTTTGACGGAGTTCGGTCATTCATTATACAGCTGTCCAGTGCTCTTTGGTGTGCAGTGATTTGATGACTGGTATTGTTCCACGATGGAAGCTCCTTTGAAGTAGAATCAGTGTTTAAGAGAATGTTGTAGTGCGTCCTTTTGATTATTCACGATAATTCCTGTAAATTTTCATACTCCTACTTGGGTGATTATATCTAAACAGAATAACAGGATTTTAACTTTAATCACTAAAAGTTTGCGTTCATTTTATGGTGGGAAATGATAAGGATATGCAATACTAATGAGATAAAGTAGCTAACAAGAGGATCTAGAGCTTATGTTTCTTCCTTTTCGGGACTCCTCAGCTGGATAAGCTTGCCTCCGAGTGTGTGATGCTGTTCCCATTGAGAAGAACTAGCTTTTACAGATTTTTTTTTACATCAGTCACTTTCTTAGTCAGTCCTCCTACTCAGAATAAAATCCAACCCCTACTTGTGACTGAAGTGTGGAGAAGTTTGAGGCAACAGGTTTCCACACTTACTGTCTTTGTAATACATAGGAAGATTGGTACAAATAATCCTTGTTAAAAACAGGTCAGTTTCAACTGTAATTAAATAAAATTACGACACTCATTTGACAAGTCACATATAAAACAAGCATGAATGAATTGATTTCTAACTGAGACCAAAAACAACCAGGCAGTTAGACAAACAAACAAATGTATCTACTGAGTATTTATTTGGAAGGCATGAAGTTTAAACCTGGTCAGCAGCTGGGTCCCGTGGCTCAGCTGGTTGAGTTGCGAGCCAGTAATCCGGAGACTGCTGGTCTGAATCTTGTCACCATCTAGATATACCCTTCCTGATTAGCCATCAAGCAGTACCTATGACACTGGTCGATCAAACAATGGCTAACTCAGATAGTTCTATCAAAAATGAATAGGTTATTCCCCTCCCAAGTCTTGACTAGGCAGACAGTGTGACTACGATGGACGGACATTTACATGTTGCGTAATCACCTGGTAACCAGGTGAAATCTTCGATGACTGAAGTGTATTCAAGACGTGGTCATCAGCTGGGTCTTGTAAAGCTTCTGATTAGTGATCTAAAGGTCGACGGTTTGAGCTTCACCATGTTCCAAGTTTTCTGACCATCACTCCGTATCAGTGTGTTAGAAAAAGATTAAATTAAACTTAAATTTTCAGTTATTTGATACAATCAAGAAAAGTAGTTATGCAAGATTTTATAGAAGAATGTGGGTCATTACCTCAGTTGTTAGCACAATTTGCGTCTTATCAAATTATACGCTTGTCAAGAATTCTTCAAGAGATACCCCCGCGAGTATTCCAAGTACATTATTATTCCTAAAGCTGAATTCTAGACGGATGTTGCTGTTAGTCATCAGGCAGACTCTGTTAGACCATTCTGAATAACGAAAATTCATATCAAATCCAAAAATACAGGTATCTTTATAGGCCACCGTAACCCCCCCCCCCCTTTGAACAATACTCTCCTTAGAAGCATACTTAGTAATGAGACAATTTATGACTGCAAACTTCGTTATTTAGTCTTCAAAGTAAAAAATCATTTCAGTAAATATACAGTCGCACTAATTACTTTCTAGAACAATGCAGTTCTCGTTGTACTATCTCTCGTGTATGCAAAGAGACTCAGAGTGTTGACAGTGTCATACCATCTAAGAGTTTCAAAAAAGGAGATAATGACACGTGTTGAGTGAGTAAACTTAGAATAGTAGTGATTAGTGGTATGGTTAATGATGACTGCATCATATGAACTACGTCTGTAGTAATTAAAGTACAAAAAAAGAAACGCGCTGAGCAGTAATATATATATATATATATATATATATATATATATATATATATATATATAGAGAGAGAGAGAGAGAGAGAGAGAGAGAGCACTCATGTGTGACGAATTTATAGCATGTGCACGATAGCTGAATGCATAAATCCTTAGTTCATGTTGCTGAAAATTCTTGAAAATCACTATTTGCCCATCATTTTCCCCACACATTCTTCATTGCTTTACAAAGTTGGATACCTTCGATAAAAAGAAATAATGTAGTTAACATTCTCTTTAAGATAAAAACGACTAAAGGGAGGAGAGGGGGAGGCAGAGGAGGAGGAGAAGATGAAGAAAACTCGTATTTTTTCAACTGTCTCTTTTTGTATAATTATCTTTCAGGGTAGGAGTGATTTTATTCTTCAGAGAAATGATGTTCACTTCCATTCTACATCCCTCTCTGTGTATTTTTTCGTTTCAAAAATTAAAGTTGTGATCTCTTTATTTTATTTCAAGTGGTTTCAGATGGAGAAAATGTTTTCCTAAAGCAAAAATAAACTGATTTCTTGTTTTACATTCTTTGTCTGTTTTTATTCCCCTGTGAAAAGTACATTACATATGGGAAATTAAGTACTTTTGAATGAATGCGTACTGTAAAGATAAGTTGGTACTGAAGACTTTTTTATTTCTACCTATTCTTAGACTGCTCATCACTCCATCAGTCAACTAGACAAAAAAAACACCTTTGAAAATTAACTTTTGAGGGAGTTGTGGAGGTTTGGAAATATTTCAAGTTGTTATTCATCGAAGACTGACACCAGATGGAGGAACAAAGGAAACCTGGGAGCACTGGACAGCCGTTTCGTCCTAGTATGGGACTCCTCAGCAGTGCGCACTCACGACCATGGGGTTCATTGGATTCTGACCCAGTGGCTCAATGGTAACGCGCTGGCCGCAGAACCTGAATGTCGCGGGTTTGATCCTTGCTGGTGGGGTCGTGGGTGCGCACTGCTGAGGAAACTCATACTAGGGCGAAACGGCTGTCCAGTGCTCCCAGGTTTCCTTTGTTCCTCCAACTGATGTCAGTCTTCGATGAATAACAACTTGAAATCTTTGAAAATCACAAAAAGTACATATGTTGGAATGAGAACGATGTAAGTTAAACAGAGAAAAGAAGTATGCTCAAGATTACTGTTCGTTGATATACTAGTAATCCTCAGTTGTTTTGCTGGATTGAATTATTCAACCTCTGTTGGCATATAGGTTCCTATGCGGATGTCTTGATACTGCTTAAATGTTTATTATGGTAATGAACTTGATTGTGGTTAGCACAGGAATCTAGGATGTGCGTTTCTTCCTACTTGGAACTCACCAATTTGATGTAACTGAACCTAAGTGAGTGTTGTTGTTCCCACTGGGATTCGAAGCTCATACCCATCGTTTCAAACACC